AGAACCTTCACAATCATGTATTGGAGCATACAATACAGTAAATCCCCAATCAGGAAGAGAAAATCCTATAATATTTTGTTCTGTGGTCGTCCATCTTGAGCGAATAAATGTGTTTAACTAATTATTTAGTATTTTTACGTGTAAACGGTTACTTAAAATTAAGTCACTTGAAATTTAGTTAAAATTTAGTTAAGACTTGGCAACTTAATACGTGTAAATCAGCCTTTAGTGCTTACTGCCGACTGCGGGGAGTGGGGACTGCTCTCAGCCGTACGACCTACGGCGCGATCTATAAATAGCTAGTGAAGTCCCCTACTTAACCTACTTTTGAATAATTTAGAGAAAGGTGGTATGTGAAACTATCGAGTTTTAAATTCAAATTGATTGGGTAATTTAAGTGAATCGTCTGTAGTGGACAAAGGCGAATTTATTACATTATTATTATAACGCGACGGAATATTTCAAATAGATTCGCGGGTATAGATGGCCAATATGGAAACATTTCAATAGGTTCTAACAACATAAAAAATATTTAATAATATATTAAATTCTCTTATATATCCGTAAAAGTTTGTTAAATTATGTAGTGACGTACGAAGAAATTGGGATTTATAAAAAAGAGTTAAGATATAACTGAATCCCATTTTAAATATGATATAAATTATACACACACATACACACATTATCGAGAGCCATTAATAATCAATTATCAATATATTTTTTCCGTATTGCTCAACGGACAGCTTAACTAACAATTATTGCAAATGAACGTTTAAACTGAATTGAAATGGAATTAATTGATTTAAAAAAAAAATGAAGAGATGTATAAATTTGTGTTGACACAGTTAAAATAATTTTAAAAGGCAGAGGCGAGAAAAAATCCTTTAATATAGACAGATAAATTGATTTTTACCGCGAATTACGTCCGCTACGTTGTATTTTCAAAGAATTAATGAAAGACTTAGGTATGCTGCCACTCGTCAGAGGGCAGCAGAGCGCAAACTATGACGCCAACCGTACCCATACCCGGTGCAATCCATGTTAGAGCAAGAGCTCCAAATCATATATATCTCCTACTCGCACTTACGGCGATTACTGCGCAAGCCCCTTCGACACTCAATTTCGCCATTTTGTTTTCAATCTTCGCCGTGTTCGTGACTCCGCGTGATGTAAAACCGAAAAAACTGTTTTTGTGCTTTTAAACAGTGTAGTGGTGAATATTCTATTGTACAAATTTGAACTATGATAATCTCGTCGTGCTAGTGACACTGCGCGTAATCAACGGTAAAAGGTAAATATTTTCCAAAATATTTGAAGTCATTGTTATCGCGATGCTCCACGTTCACGGACGTATAATCTGAAATTATATTGAAATATGTATAATTAAGACGTACTCGTTACTGTGTTTCTACGTATTTAGATTTCATAATGACAAAGCTACTATTCTGTAGCGAGAGGGAATGTTATATGTGCGGGCGAACGTACAATTTTCCTACAAACTGGTTCTAGAATTATTATTGTTACATGTGACGTAAGCGTCCGCTTTCGTCGAAATACGGTATCATTGTGGCACGGACTACGGAGTGGTGCCGCCATACTCGATTTACCAACTTGTTAAATGAATATTAGTGAATATTATGTCATAATTTTTTTATTATATTCTAAATTCTAAGTCCTATCTTGATATTAATAAAAATGGAATAAACGGATATCGCTAAATTGTGTTTGTTATGCTTTCTTGCTTAAACGGCTGAACCGATTTAAGTGAAATTAAAAAAATAAATAACGTCAGAGGAGAAATAGTAAGCCTCATAATTTTCGCGAAGATTTATTTTCAACAATTACCAAATACAATAATTGTTTATTATTTGAATAAATGATTACGACTATTTATCTTATATTTTTAATTAAAAATAATAACTTGTAGTCATATTATAGTCATTTATAACGTCTTCAAGAATATCGCGTACTTTCTGATCATCACAATTTTTATGGTAAAGGAACTTAATTATTATTATTATTGTACTAAGATAAACATAATACATATGCGTTATATACATGTGTTTTTCTTCGTATATTTACACACCGCATACATAAGTATATTGTTATCGTCAGAATTATCGTAATATAACAACGCGTGAATATTATATTAAACTTCGCCCATTCTATAAAGATTCTTCACCAGTATTCGAACGCACCAGTTCAAGGTTGAATCACACGCTTAACCACAAGAAGCAGCAGAATCTAAAGAGCACAATGCGCGAGCAATCTTTTAATTATAGATAATTTATGTAATTGATTGATTTTTTTTATTATTCTTTAAAGCTAATGAATTAGATAGGATTTTTTTAGTTCAGTTACGCCCGAGTCTTATATTTAATACCACTGTAAATTGCTACAAACCATGGTAGCTCAACGCTATAATTTGTATAGTGAATTATTGTTTTATCTGTGAAACATGTAAGCGGACGCATCGAATATCTAGTACCAGCTATTTCTTCTTTTGTTTTATTGTGAGGTATAATCCACAAGGTTTTATCAACAACAAATGGTATGATCAATGCCTAGAAACCGTTACTTAGCATTGTATTTTAAATGTGTATAAAAATACATGTATCAACTGATTGCTATTCGCGTTATTTAAACTTAAGATATAATAGGGACTATTGATGCTATATAATGTGGAAAAAATATTACTAAAAAATTAAATCAATTTTCTAAATGAAATTTTAAATATTTAAGCCGCCATAACGCCGCCATTTTGCGCGGGCTTTTACTACGTCATGAGAAGTCCCGTGTTTGTTTACTATTGGCGTATCAGTTTCATACATATTTTTAGTTTTAAGTTCCATTCAGATTATGAAAGAAGCCAAAAATCTTACAAGTATTATATAAGTACCGAAGTGCAAAAACAATATCAGAAGGACACTCGATAAAATGTTTTAACCTATTCCAAGAGATGTGCAAGTACGGAAACAATGGTGTAAAGAGGCTCCTAGACGGGCCATTTTTTCACGAAAATGTATAGCTGCAAGGGTGTGGCTGGTAGCATTGGCCAGTATTTACGGCTAGACTATGCAATACTCGGCAATATTTTTATTTACATATACTAGCAATCTTGCCTGTAAATTATCGATCGAAGCGATAAGACCGCCCGTTGCTCCTATTATTTATAAAACTAAAAAATGTAATTGTTATATATTGACACACCACAGACTTTTATGGATCTGTTATGACAGCATTGATTAAATTTCAAAACTGTCTTCTAAAACTATTGCCATAATATAAAAAAAATGGTCTTCGGGCCGAAACCGGAAATATTTTAAATATATAAAAAAAAATTGCTATGAATAGTTTGATCGTGAATTAATGTGTCAATTTTGTTCAATATCTTTTGCATTTTGTTTAATATGTAAAGGATGTATCAATATTAAATCGCGTATTTTTATATAGAGCAGTTGGACTAGTGACGCTCATACATGAGGTCGTGCGTTCGAATCACGGAATTTGGAAAACCTTTGGAATTTTCTGTTTACATACAATTCTATGAAATAAATTTGATCTTAGGGTTGTAGCGCTACATTTCTTTTTGAAGTAAAACTCCTTAGGCGCATGAGGGCAAATATTTACGGATGAAACGCAATAATAATAATATTAGCGTCACGAAGATGTGCAGCGTTTTTGTCGAAGAAAAGGGAGAGAACGATTGAGACCGATTGAGATAGAGAGTGAGACCTTACCTTATAGAAATTATATTTTTAAAATAAAAATTTCTTAAAGAGAATTTATGAAATATTAGTTTTTATATTTTATGCAAATCATTTATTGAAATCTCAAATGACGAATTATAAATTAAAATACCACGTGTTTTTATTATCGAAGAAATAAATGTAAAAAATTCAATTTATAATTTGTATCATTTTCGACATTTTTAATATTTTAATATCAATTAAATTTCTACCATATCTTCTTATTTCGCTCCCTCTAAGTCTCAGAAATCTATAGTTTTAGATTTGTATAAATAATAAATATGAACAAGCCTTAAAAATTAGTTTGCCAAAGAAGTTTCACTTATGACATATTGTGTACTTTGTACGCCCGCACTTTTCTTTTTTGAAGTTATACTTCTATAGGGCGCGTAATGAAAAATTGATGAGAGTGTAATTTTACGATGCGCGAGCACCGTGACACAAAATTAACAGAATTAAGTTGCCCACGGAAGATGCTACGGCATTGGACATAATTTAAAAACAACATTCGAATAATAATAGAATTAATAAATATTTATTTATTTAATTTTTCAAATGTAAACTGCCCTTTATTGACTATAATGACTCTTTTTCCAGTCTTTGATTATTTAACTGTAATTAATTATTTGCATGTAACCAAAAACTATTTTTAATAATGCCAAAAAAGTATAACTTCTTACGCCGTACGCGCGACTTGAGAGCGTTAATTTTACCCACGGTCGTAAGTTCGAACCCCGGCTGAGCACCAAGGACTTCTCTCTCTATTTACGCATTTAACATTCGCCCGTATGAAATCTGTCAGGCACAGAACGCTGATCATCTACTTGTCTATAAAGAAAAACACCACGAAATGGCATTCTCTTACGACCGCTTTCTATACTTGATGTAAAATCTTAAATTATTTCCAATCCAGATTTTTTGCGATTGAATCTGCATTTTTATAATCAATCCTTGATTTCAATCCTTGGATTGGTAGTTTTCACCTGGTTTCGTTTTACGTATTGCTCTTATTTGTGAGGAACTATATTATTACTTGAAGACTTATACTTGTAAAATCATAATAATTTTTATATAACAACATAATAAATTGCGAGTAACAGCTGTAAAATAGTTTAACAGCCGAAATTTGTTTTGCATCGTGTAGCTGTTGAAATCTTGAAAAATGGAACGTGCAGAAGCGTCCTAGCAACTGTCAACGATACGGATAACGGATATACAACACAACTGACAACAGGCTAATTTAAATTGTCAATGGAGCCTGAAACTGTAAGTATTTATGGAATACTTCAATTTAATAATGGTGTGTTAATTAATAGTACACTTATAATTATGTAATTTGTTTGTAGAACAAAGGTAAAGCTCTTTCCAAAGATGAGACGAAGGGCCTTCTCTCATTAATTGAGGGAAGTAAAATTATAAATAATAAGAAGATGAACGCCGCCAGCAACAGATTAAAGCTTCAAGAATGGGAACGAATCGCCATCGCCTTTAATGCCTCGATGGGAACCTGTCCCCGTACGCCTCAACAATTGCGTTTAAAATGGGAAAATTTAAAGAAGAACTCACGAAAGCGTACTACTCAATTACGAATGGAACGGATCAAGGTAAATTGTAACAAAATCACATTGTTTGTACAATGTAGTATGTTATACTTAAATATATTTATTATATTACTTTCAGACGGGTGGCGGACCTCCAGAATACTTTGCATCCGATGAAATCCTGGATCGAGTAGCTAGGTTGCTTGGTTGCACTGGAGAGGGACTGAAAGCAATCTCTGGTGGTGATGTAACCCATGAAAATATTGGTGATGAGGTTGCTGTTGGTGATGGGGTTGCTGTTGGTGATGGGGTTGATGTTGGTGATGGGGTCGCTGTTGGTGATGGGGTTGCTGTTGGTGATGGGGTTGCTGTTGGTGGTGAAGTCAGTGTTGGTGAGGGGGTTGGTGTGAATGGAAGTGTTAGTGGAAGATTAACAAAATATGCTGACAATGGGGCACGGGTAAGAAATATTGCTATAGCAGATTATTACATTGCAAAAAAAAAGTTTTTAGATTCTAAGCTGGAGAATATTATGTTAGAAAATGTTAAGTTAAAATTGGAAATTAAGAAGCTTAAGGGGGATGTATAACTTTAGAATTAAAACAAAAATGTTAATACTAATTTTAATTGTGCTTATGTTAAGTATTGTATTATTTTATTTCTTAATATTGTAGTAGTATGATTAGTTTTGTTAAAACATATTTTGTAAAAATCACTTTTTATTAGTATGTAAATTTTATTTAATAAGTACTTAAAAGAAATTAAAACTTGTCTATGTCTTATACCACTTTGACTATTATTATTTCCCAGTGATCCTCTAGTTATTTGACTTTCTTCGGGGATGTCAACTACGGGTGGAACTTCCTCAATATTATAATTCCTACATATATTGTGAAGTACAGCTGTAGCAATTATAGCTACCTGTATGATGTACAATGACAATCGCATAGTAACTGGGAAGCGACATTTCCAGACTCCATATATAGGTACTAAAAATAATAAAAAATTTATGTGACAACCTTTCCCATATGCAATATATATTTTGTTTGCTAAATACATACTTTTATGTTATTATACCTTTCAATAGTGTTTGTAGTTTTAATGTGGACTTCATTTCTTGTCTTGTTATGGGGTTCAACAAAGTTGTAAGCAAGTATGGTTTGGATAGGCACTATCCCCAAGTAACCAACAATTTCCTAGACACCTTCTTCACATTGAGCTGTAAAAACACAGACTAAAAGTAGCATAATAATCGTTATTAAAAAAAACAATAGACAATAATCTTTATTAATATTACCTCTTCATATTGAATTATTGAAAATAGTATCATCATGGGCAGAACCTGGCTACTGAGCAACTACATTTAATAATTTAAGATCTGCATCACAAACAGCTTGGACATTAAAAGAAAGAACCTATACAGAAATCTGAGGTCCAGACCTAAAAAGGTTGTAGCGTCACTGATTTATTTTATTTTAATGTAAACTCAAACTCAAAATATCTTTATTCATGTAGGTAAACAAGTACACTTATGAATTATGAGAAAGAAGTTAAAGTTCGCAAGTCAAGGGCGTAGAGCGGGTAAGAAGAACTGGCACGAAACTTTCCGCCACTCTTAAATCGCCAAGTATTGTCATACAAATTGTTTGAACTGTAGCAAAAAAATCCCAAGGATTAGGATCATTAAAGTATTCCTCAAATTTAAAAAAGCTTTATTGATTAATTTTCGTTTAACGAGGGCTTTGAATTTATTTAGTGATAATTCTCTAATTTCGCTTGGGAGTTTGTTGTAAAAACGAATACAATTTCCATATAAGGAGTGGTTTATCTTTTGGAGCCTTGGTCGTACACTCAGATTAGTTCTATTTCGCGTATTATACCTATTGGTGAAAGTCACCATTTGTTTTAAAATCGCTTATATTTATTTGGACATACAACAAGGCTTCAAGACCATATTATATTGACCAGATAGTGTCATACTATTTAATTCCTTAAACTTATTCCGTACCGACTCCCTCGGAGAAACACAACAAATACCCCGAACAGCCCGCTTCTGCAGCACAAATATGGATTGAACCTCTTCAGCAGCACCCCACAGTAGAATACCGTACGACATAACGCTGTGAAAGTAGCAATTTTAGCCGTGTCTTTATCATTAAAGTGTCGGATTTTCTTTACTGCATATACTGCAGAGCTCAGCCTATTCGAAAGAGTCTATGTGTGGTTATGAACATCATTAAAAAAAAAATAAGTTCTGAATATGCATTTATTGTCAGTTCTCAAATCAAGTAGAACGGACAAGAAGAACTAGCAATAACTCTCCTTATCAAGGTTTTTTGAAGTTATACTTCTTTAGGCGCGTTATGAAATATTGATGAGAGTGAAATTTTATGATGCGCGCGCACCGTGACACAAAATTAACAGAATGAAGTTGCCCACGGAAGATGCTACGGCATTGGACATAATTTAAAAACAACATTTGAATAATAATAGAATTTATGTTACACTTAATGTAACAGAATAATAATAAATATTTATTTATTTAATTTTTCAAATGTAAACTGAACTTTATTGACTATAATGACTCCGGTCTTTGATTATTTAATTGTAATTAATTATTTGCATGCAATCAAAAACTATTTTTCATAATGCCAAAGAAGTATAACTTCTTACGCGCGTACATAAGTACACGCACCCTTTTTTTCATTTTTTTTTCATACCTCGATATATCCTTCATTGAAATTTAGTAAAGTAAAAAAGTTGTCAGTTGTAGTGGTCAGAAAATACCTAATTAGTACAGAGAGGTTACACTGATTATAAATACTTCACTATACGCACTTATCAATATATAATTCAGGGCGTAATTAAATAAAATAATGGCAATAATCTATATTGTCACATCGAATCCACATAGAAAACTGTTTTTTCAAATATGGCCGTGTCATGAAATTATAAATCACCCTCAACAAATTTATAAAATAAATATATATATATAGAACTTGGTTCCTCGTTTATTGACTTATGTAAAAAAATATGTCAGAATATGTAAAATATAAAACGTTTAACAAAAACTTCACTAATTACGTAAAATTATATGTTTCCTTAAAACCCCATATAAGCAAGCAAGAAAACTATTTCCTTGAAATCCCATCTCATGACTTACTTTGTTGGCGAATCCTTTAAAGTCTTTCAAGTGAGGCTATGGAATTCAGTTCCTGTCTATTGGCTTAGCTCCTTCTCTATCTTCCTTTAAATCTCTACTGTACAAACATTACCTATGTGCATTTGTAATATTGTCCTGTTCACTGTTTTTTTATTTTTGCACTTCTTGTGCTTGCCTTATCTATTTTTTTTGTTCTCACATTGATTGCTTGGAAGAGATCGCTCAAAAGCGACAAGGCCGCCAGTTGCCCTCCTTTTCATTTAATTATGCCAACTGTATTATAATTAGGTTTGCAACGAAGTGTTAATTAATAAATAAGCTTTCTATTTTATACATAAAATACAACATAGCTGTACGTCAAGCTTTTATTTAAGTTATGTTCACTGAACCAGTGTAGGGCGATATTAAACCTCGATAAATGTAAGGTATGGAAAGAGGCCCTAATCAAATAAACATACACGTTTTCGTTTCGGCAGTGACACGAGATTATTGATGTAAATACATAAAATAGATATATTACTCGCTTTATAAATGAATCGGTAATTTTAAAATCCTCTTCAGTAATTTTTTTTCGAACATGCTTTTTTGCTGAATTCTTGAAGTGAAATGCGTATTATGGGTAAAAACCAAACAACATTATGTACCTTAAAGATATTAAAATATGACAAATATAAGGGTCTGTACTCCAACTTTGTTTTAGTTCCCTTTGAAGTAGAGACACTTTGGCCTTGTGGTTCAAGTGCACAGGCGCTTATTAAAGTTGGCGCCTGTTAGATAGTATCGGTGACGCCAGAGCTGGCGCTTTCCTCGCTCAACAAATAAGTATCGCAATACAGCGAGGAAAAGCTGCCAGCGTTAAAGGCAGTCCACAGGAACCAAACTTTATAAATTTGTTTTAATTTTCTATTTATTATTATTATTACTATGTAGGTTAAGAAAATTTGTAAATACTGTATATTTGTGTGAAGTATAAAAACAATAGAAAGTCTATTACGTTTGAATAAAAATGAATTCATAAAATATGACAAATAAATATACATAATACATGTAAAATGTTAATGGATCATTGTCAAATTTCGCACAGGTAACCTAGTCCCTCAACTGAGATTATTTTTTTGTTGTAATAATTATATAACCTCTTTCAAAATTTATATTAAATACAATACATCGTATTAATAAACATTCAAAATAAAAATATACGTTTGTTTTTCTTTAGATTTCCGGTAAAGTACCTAACATTGTGGTAATTTTTGGTAACATAAAAGATTTCCTTCCAAAGTCTATATGACCCTATACCACTCCGTTACAAGTTAAACTTTTTTAACCTAACGTTAGCAATAGTTTAAACTTAACTGTTTGTGTTTAATGACTCAATCCCATATAAATTAAGAAACTTTTTCAGATGTTTTCCCAGTTTAGCGAGCGTATTGTCAAATATCTCTTGTATTTACAATATAACCTCTTTTTTTAAAGATGGAGCAACCAGCACTGGGATCTACAGTATCGGTCGTCTCATCAACACCTTTTCCCGCATCTACGGCTGCCATGGAAGACCCAAGGATGAACAAATCAAGGGTTGAAAAACTGAAGCGACGTATTATTCGGGCGGTTGCGGGTAAACTTAGCCAAAACCCGGATGAACAAGAAATTAATAATATGTGGGAGGCGATGAAAACGGCTTGCAAGTGTGATTGTAAATTGCTGTGGTAAGTATTTAAAATCAAAAATCATTTATCTTAAATATATAAAATAAAGTCGTGTTACTTACACCACTTATAACTCAAGATCGGCTGGACCGATGTTAGTTATCTCTTTTTAGTGAATTTTTCTCCGCTCTGAATAGCAGAATAAGTAATAAAATATCGGATAAGTTATCTAATAACAATTAATTCATTAATTTTACGAATGCAAACAGCATGTTGTGCCTTCTGTTAAGAAAACTACGCATAATTTTACATCGAATTCCTGTCAGTTCAAGAAATTCAGATCTTGAAGCGAATGAGATGCATAACCAGGCTTTGATCTTGATCGAAGACGTGTTACCTCATCAAAAAATGTTGTATATCAGAAAGTGCTTTAACATGCAGTATCGCAATATTGGTGCTAGAAAGAAGAGGCCTAATGTGTAAAACTGCCATTCTTCTTTCTCAATGGCAAGCAACAAAACATTTCTGTATTTGCAAACAAAATTGTATTAATGTTAACCTTAATGCAATCCTAAAATAAGTTTAACTAAAGTTAACGACATTATTAGTGGAACGAAGTTCTCCGGGTCAGCTAGTAGGTATATTATATATGTAACCAATTTTGAAATCTAGGGTGTAGAATGGTCAAGGCTTATTTTAAGATATGTGATGGTTGGGATTCGGTTGTAAACGTTATATTTGGTTAGGAGTTTTGGTCATAAAATAGTTCGTATTTTATTATAAATACAGTTTTATCTATAATTTAACGAAAGAACGACGCGACGTGTGCGTTTAATATATTCCCAAAAAAATACTGTGAGTGAAACTGTGTATCAGTGTACTCTTTAATCTTAAAAATCACTAGAAGTGGTTTTCACAAATCAACTATGCTAAAGTTTTTGCCCGCTCTACGCCCTTGACTTGCGAACTGCTAGTAAATGTAAATTTTGAAATAATTAAATATCTTTTCTGTTGACATTTATAAGTGTACTTGGTTACCTAATATTAATAAAGTTAGTTTGAGATTAAATATTTGAACTATTTAGCTGTTGCTAAGTAACGGACACACGCCGTCGGGTACAGAGTCGGGATTGTAATTAATTTAATTACTAATTAAAAAAACTAATTTAAAGTAAAAAAAAAACACAATTACCTAACCATTAATAGAAATATCCACACGGTCGGTTCCGGATTGGGCCACGACTTTTATATGTGTGATGCATGGGTTTTTCGTAAGTTCAATTAATATTTATTTATGATTTGTTAAAACAAGCATTTAAGCAGAGTTAGCCTCCTTCCTGCGCCTCTCAACCCTCAAATCGTTTATCGAATCATAGCCTTTTTCTGTTCTTTGTGCACATTTAATTAGTCTAAAAATCGACGGCATGTGTCAGGCACAGAAGGCTGATCACCTACTTGTCACTCAATCATCACCCAATTCGACTATAAATAATATTAATTATTTTATAAACAGGAAACATATGCGAGCGGTTACAGTGAAAAAGCTGAAACGTCTGATCTCAGCTGACGACAGAGTTGTAGAAATAACGGACATAGCAAGGCTTACAATAACTGATTGGTTGTTGTATGACCTCGTACTGGCACACGAGAACATTGATGTTATTGGACAGGTAAGAAACGAAGGATATGAATCTTCAATTTCTAACAGCAAGGGTTGAGGTTTTGCTGTGGCCAGGGCCGATAGGGGAGCGCAACCGGGGCTACAAACCAGGGGCCTCCACAAAAGAGGGGACCCCACAATATAAACTTTGTAAAAAAATTTATTGCAGTTTTAAATTCCGACCAGTAAACACTAGTAAACAACTTTATATGTTTGTTAAATACCAAAAGCGTCTAGGTACTTGGTTTCACAATAAATTATTGATTTAAAAACTCGACTGTTGAAACAAGTGGTTCATTTTATTAGGAAAATCATTTGGGGCCAGTTGTTGCAATAAGATATATTGGCCTAGTGGCTTCAGCGTTCTACTCATCCCTGAGGTCGTACGTTCGATCCCCGGCTGTGCTCCAATGGACTTTCTTTCTATGTGCATTGTGTAGTATACCGAAGCACACTAGTGGGGGTCAGTCGACTGCCTACCGCCGTGGCGTGCGGACGTTACTGGAGTTCTGGGATCGTACCGTTTATAAAGTGTACCTATCGGTGGTGTTTCTGAGTATTTTACAAGTGGCGACGACGGAGAATGTGAGTTTTGAAAGACATAAGGAAACATGGTATGTAAGGAAGGAACGCGTGTGAAAGAGAAATGTAAGTTTGTTTTTATATAATGTTGGACCGTGACTGTTTTATCAGTTTTTTATATTGTCAACAATCGAAAAGGTTTCATAAAATAAGTACCGGCCAACCTGCCAAACGAAATAATGCGCGTTAGTAACAATGAGTCACGAGTTTGCACCTGTGTGTTGCGCTTGTTGTTTTTATTATATTGTTCATAATTATATTGTTCACAATTTGATAATCGCTTTTATTATATTATAAAAGGAAATAAAACAAACAAGCGCTGCTACAAGAAGGTGTTGACTGAGTGTCATAAAATACCAAATATGTTAGGTATATATTTGGGCCTGATTTTGTATTTCTCATACACGTTCTAGTTACAGTTACAATGGTTGGTTGGTCAGTTTGAGAGACCAATGTTTTGCTATCACGGCCAATATGATAGGTCTTGACGATTAGTAGATAGCAATAGTTAGATCAATATGAAAGATCGATGTTTTGAGAGGTCAATTTGAGAGACCCATGTTTTCTATCACGGCCAATAAGATAGGTCTTTACCATTAGAAGCCATGATCAATATGAAAGATAGTGGTTTTGTAAGGTCAATATGATAGGCCAAAACGTTCTTAAAGTCAATAAGATAGACTAAGAGAATGGTGTTAAGGTCAATATGATAGGCCAAAACGTTCTTAAAGTCAATAAGATAGACTAAGAGAATGGTGTTAAGGTCAATATGATAGGCCAAAACGTTCTTAAAGTCAATAAGATAGACTAAGAGAATGGTGTTAAGGTCAATATGATAGGCCAAAACGTTCTTAAAGTCAATAAGATAGACTAAGAGAATGGTGTTAAGGTCAATATGATAGGCCAAAACGTTCTTAAAGTCAATAAGATAGACTAAGATAATGTTGTTAAGGTCAATATGACAGGCCAAAACGTTCTTAAAGTCAATAAGATAGACTAATTCTGAGTACATGCTTTAAAGTCAATTTGATAGACTACTTTTATTAGTAAGGTTTATTAGATTAGACCGTATTTGGTTTAGTGACAATAATCATTGATATTGAGATCAGATTATTGTGCAAAGTATGCGTGATGAATGTTTCGTAAATAAAGAAGATATATTTATACGGGTATAAACCTGTAGGTGATTAGTTAACGTGTCGTAATGATACAGTGATGTGTTCTGACAAGAACAGATCAGTATAGATACGGTCGTGTGTTCTGAAAAGAACAGTTTCATCGTTGTCGTAAGACACGGTAATATGTCCTGAAAAGGACAGTTGTTAAACGTTTTCGTAAGATACGATAATATTGTTCTGAAAAGAACAGTTTATTAGTGTTATCGTAAGACGATATCGAAGTGTTCTGTGAAGAACACGTTCGTACGTTTCGATGGCTGCGCGCAGAAAAGGGTAAACTTTTTGCCGCGCCGCGTTTTTATCGCCTGCCCTGGTACCGGCGCAACCAATCAACCCTCCGCATTTTGGCACCACATGTTACTACTATTTATCACTCCGATATGGCTCAGATAACATCAGTGTTTCCAGGCCTTGATCATTTTGAGTGCGAAGGCAACCAAGTCTCAGTAGGAATCCGTTGGGAAAAATGGAGAAGAGCACTAGACATATAATTTTTGGTCGCTAATATTGATACAAGCATTAAAAAGCGAGCTTATTTATTACACGTTGGTGGGCTTGCATTGCAAGAGGTGTATTACAACTTGCCTGGAGCTCATGTCGATGAGATCGATGGCGCTGACGTTTATGAAATTGCTATACAAAAAATTAAATGAATATTTTTCAACAAAACAAAGCAGATACTACGAACGATATTATTAGACTAATGAAACAAGAGGAAGGGGAGAGGTTTGAAGCTTTCCTTTTACGGTTGCGAACTCAAGCTGGTACCTAAATGCCAGTTTACAGCTAAAGATGAACACTTAATAGACCAAATCGTAGAAAAGGCCCAAAGCTCAGAATTAAGGAAGAAAATCCTGGCAGGTGGAGATTCGATAACACTTCAACAAGTAATTACAATTGCTATTACGCTTAAGACGGTTAACAAACAGTTTGATTCGTTTGATAAGCAAGGATCAAGTAAAACTTTTGATACGAAAATTCAGAAATTAACCGGGTAGAAATTACGTGCGGTTCGAAACTCAGCGAAAATATGTTTTCGTTGCGGCAACAGCAAACATTTATCATTTGATAATAATTGGCCAGACAGAGATAAAAAAATATAATATATAATATAATATTTAAAATGTGGAGTCGTTGGTCATTTTAGGGATTATTGTAAGACCAAGGTACAAAAACGGAAAATACATACACGAAATGACGAATACAATGGAACAAAGACACTGAAAACAAATACAGGAACACACTAAGTTACCGATGAAGTGGATTTATGTATCCCATATAGATAATGACACAACTATCAATTGTAAAATGGGTGGAGAAATTGTTGTCCGGTTGCGAAGGGACAGCCAATCGTACTGACGACATTATAGTACATGGATCTGATGAGTTGCAATACGATAAACGGCTTGAAAATGTGTTACAAATACTGAAAGATAATTAATGTTCTTCTTAACCACGACAAATGCAAGATGCGACAAACAAAATTGCAATACGACACACAAAATTGAATTTCTGGGACATCTACTAACTGAATAAGGAATAAAGCCATTGGACAAATACATCCAAGTAATCCAGGCTTCAAAAAAGCCCTCCAACATTGAAGAGATACAGAGTTTTCTTGGTCTCGTTAACTACGTCGGGAAATGGATACCCAATTCAGAAACACTTACATTACCCCTTCGGCAAATAATAAGACTTAGATTGAGCAGATCTACTAACATTAAAAATACCGGACAGACGTTCATTCGAATACTCTTCATTTGAGACCCTCAAGATACGACTGTCAAACTTAAAAACACTTGGCTACTACAACCCGGTGGGTAGAACGCAAATAATAGCAGATGCGTTTCCAGTTGGTCTTGGTGCGGTGCTCGTACAAATTGATCGTCACGGACCTCGGATAATTGGGTTCGGCAATAAAAGTATTACTGATTGCGAGAAGAGATACTGTCAAACGGAGAAAGAAGCCCTGGCTCTGGTATGGGCAGTAGAACATTTTAAGATTTATCTACTGGGCAACCCGACCGATAGCAGTTCCACTTGTTGAATTTTAAACAGCCAGTGCAACAGACAGGGAAATAATAGCATTAAGAACTGGTGTTTTGAAGATAAGTGGAATGAGTGCTACAAGGTAATAAAGCCCTCAGAGGGAGTAAACTTATTATTCCTAAACAACGTCGTGATCGAGTTCTTGAGGCTGCTCACCAAGGACAACCTGGCTTTGTTGCCATGAAAGGTCGTCTAAGAACAAAGGTTTGTTGGCCTAAAATTGATAGGGATGCTGAAAGTCGTGTTAAAACCTGTAAAGGTCGGACGCTGGTTTCATCACCTAAACCTCATCCAACTAAAAGACGAGACCTTCCAAGTGAGCCTTGTCTTGATGTTGCGGTATACTTTTTGGGACCATTACCATCAAACGATTACCTACTTATACTAATAGACTACTACAGTAGGTATAAGGAGATTAAAATTATTAAGAACATTAACTGCCACAGAAACCATTATAAATCTCAAGGAATTATTTTCTCGATTGGGATATCCTGCAACCCTAACTTCCGATAGTGGCAATCAATTTACAAGTGACAATTTCAAAGCGTTTTGTAAGGAGTGCGCGATTGTAATTTACAATACAATACCCTATTGGCCACAGGTTAATTAAAAAAGTTAGGTGAAAAGGATTGGAAAGAGGACTTTCTAGAAAACCTTGTAATGTACAACAGCACCCCTCATACAGTAACAGGAAAAACCCCGGCTGAACTCTTCTTTCGTAGACAGTTTCGAGATAAAATTCAGACATGGAACATAAAGTCATATATTCAGATTTTATAGACAGAGATAGGGAGAATAAAGAAAAAGGAAAGGAATATGCTGATAGGAAGAGAAAAGCGGCGGATAGTTATTTGGGAATTGGGGAAAATCTAGACGTCAAAATAATATGATGAGAGAAAATAAATTGGCTCCTAATTGTGGTCCAGAGTCTCACATGGTAACAGATGTAACGGTGGAGACATTAGGGTAAGAAATGATTCAACGGGGAAAGAATACCGCATAAATGTTGTCCACCTTAAGAGGGTTGAAAATGGTGAGTGGCAAGTGGGTCATTAACCACCACGCAGACGACGGGGTAAATGGTAAAAAAATGAAGATTAATGACTTATCATCCTAAAATGTAAAAGAAACAAAATTAAAGTTAATCTTCGAATCATTTGATAAGTTTTTATTAATTTTAATAAGGAAGGGATGTAGTATACCGAAGCACACTAGTGGGGGTCAGTCGACTGCCTACCGCCGTGGCGTGCGGACGTTACTGGAGTTCTGGGATCGTACCGTTTATAAAGTGTACCTATCGGTGGTGTTTCTGAGTATTTTACACATTGTGCACATTTAACATTCGCTCGAACGGTGAAGGAAAATATCGTGAGGAAAGCTTGCCTTAGACCCAAAAAGTCGTTGGCGTGTGTCAGGCACAGACTGATCACCTTTTAGATTGACAAATGATCATGAAACAGATACAGAAATCTGAGGCCCAGACCTGAAAAGGTTTGCCACTGATTTATCTTAATTTTATATATCTTATTAGTTTCTATGTTTACACATTTTAACTTGGTATCCCATCCTCTGTACCTACTTCTACTGGCCTTCTTCCCTTGACAATCGGAGAAGCTCTCGTTTCACTTTAAACAAAGTTTTTCTGAACAGGATATATGGGAGAAAACTGGCGAAGAGCCGGAGCCACTGATAGAATTATTCTTCCTCGTCGATGAATATCACATTGAGGAACTCGAAGGGACCGAATTGATTGAAGCTTGGCTTAATCTGACTCGAGAATATAATGGAAGGTAAGTTTTTTTTATTTACCTTTAAGCAATATACATTGTTAAAACCACTGTAATATTCATACATACACATCAATTATCGCGTAGATAGATTATCAATTATATGACCTCATTTCTATATGTTGATTAAATTTCTAATATACCATGGAGAGTGTTCAGAGAAGTTGTTCGGATTAATACCTGCAGCTGAGTTTCATTTCGTGTCAATGCAGAATACGAAATACCATCCGTATCACCTCGACGATCGGCTGACAACTGACTTATTTAAGGCAATTTTTGCCGTGCATCACAAATATGGGTACCAATTCTTTAAAGACCGGCATCGCACACGCGAGCCTTCTGGCAATGTCAGTGTCCATGTGCGATATCACTTAACTTTAGGTGAGTTTCCTGTCGGTTTAAATAAAAAAAAGTGCGTGCGTACAAAATACACATGTCAGAAGTGAAATTTCTTTGGCAAACTAATTTTTAAGTCTTGTTCATATTTATACAAATCTAAAACTTTAGATTTCCGAGACTTGGAGGGAAAAAGGAAGATATGTTAGGAATTTAATGAATTTAATTGTCAATAAAATATTAAAAGTGTCGAAAATTAGTACAAATTATAATTTTTCTTTTAATTTATTTCTTCGAAAATAAAAATACGTGGCATTTTAATTTACAATTCGTCATTTGAGATTTCAATAAATTATTTTGCATAAAATATAAAATACTAATATTTCACAAATTCTCTTTACGAAATTTAAATTAAAAAAATAGAATTTCTATAAGGTAATTCACCCTTTTTTGTTACCTTAATGTTATCTTAGTTATAAGCTCATGTCTTAAACAATTGAAGCCAGTTGTTACCCAGCTCCTAACAAAGTGTTTCATTTAACATATTATATCTACAACAACCGCCACCAAACTTAATTCTTATAAAGAATTTTACTCTCTTGGTAATACAAGACTAATTAAAATGAAAAGTATCGTTTACTAATATTTTTTTGTGTATTTTGTAGTCGGTTCATTTAAGGTAATTTGACGACGAAATATTCATTAAATAAAACTTTGCAGTGGCCGCAAATGTTCGCCAATGTTGCTCCAACGCCGCTGGTATCAATTGAAACAAGCAACGAGGAAAGCCTTTTACCTATTCTGGGGTAATTTTCGTGGAAGTGCAGTCCATTTTCAGAGAGCTGTCAAATACAAACCGACTGCCCTTCAAGTGGATATTGCGAGAAAGTAAGTATCAGGTCACACTGTTAGTGTTTAATGCATTAAATTCCCAACCTTTTTTGTGGCCCATCTTAGCCTTTCTAAATTTCTTATGCCCCTATGTAATATACATAATTTTGATAAAAAATTAATGGTTCACTTAAGATAAATTGTGCTGCAGAAGCGGGCTGTTCGGGATATTTGTTGCGTTTCCCATGGGAGTCGGTACGGAATAAGTTTAAGGGATTAAATATTATGACCCTATCTGGTCAATATATTCTTGAAGCCTTGTTGTATGAACAAAAAAATATAAAAGATTTGAAAACAAATGGTATAATACTCGAAACAGAACCAATCTAAGCGTACGACTAACCAGGCTCCAGAAGATAAACTACTAAACTACTACTATATGGAAATTGTATTCCTTTTTGCAACTAACTTCCAAGCGAAATTAGAGAATTATCACTGAATAAATTCAAAACTCTCTTTAAACGTAAATTAATCAATAAAGCTTTTTATACATTTGACAAATATTTTAATGATTCTAATCCTTGGGATTGATTTGCTCCAGTTCAAATATTTATAGCACCTCTGCCTTACAAACAATTTGTATGACTCAAAACTTGGCGATTAAAAAGAGTGGCGGAGAGTTTACGCCCTTGACTTGCGAACTGGTAGTAAATAAAGAAAGTTTAGAATCAATTTAACAAGTGTACTTGGTTACCTATATGAATAAAGTTTTTTTGAGTTTGAAATGATAGGGTAAGGAAATTAGTAGGAAATTGTTAACGAAACATAATAAACAGAAAATAAATGATTGTTTTTAAAACAATGATTAAACTGAAATTCAAAATTCCAAATAATTTTAATGAATTTTCGAATAGCATTAACAATCAAATTGTGGGGCGTGGGCCTCACGTGGAAAACACTGAATTAGACTATTAACAATTTGATACCAGTAAAATTAGCGATTGTATCCAACAAACAAAAACTGATTTAAGTAACAATCTCAATTTAAAATATGTGAATACTGTGAGATCCTGTCCAATCAAGAGTGAAGTCATGACTTCACTTTTGGTAGTTTTAGTGTAAGTTATTGCGAAAGTTTCATTTTTGACAGCTTTCAGGCCGCTAGTTAAACGGCGCCGTTTAGTTAAAAGGCTAGGCTGTTAATTTAACGGCTAATTAATCTAGTTAGCTGCGACATATACGCCTATATATTTATTCAATTATCACTACATAGTATAAAAGAAAATCGAGTATGCTTAAATCTTTAAAACTACGCAGAATTTGATGCGGTTTTTTATAATAAATAGAGTGATTGAAGAGGAAGGTTTATATGTATAAAAGCATATCTACACTAATTACATAGAGGAATCTATGTAATTAGTGTAGATATTTACAAATATATTTATTCATTTGCAGGTATAGAAGCCTTATACTGACGAGTTTTCCAGATTGGAACGAATTGATAAATAAGAAAAAGGTCATATTGGCACACGAGTTTGTAAGTATGGATTTTACAAAGAACGAATAGTATGTCCTTACATATTATTATAAAATAACTAGCTGACCCGACAAACGTTTGTTTTGCCATGAGGTATATTATTTGTAGGAAACAGTTTTTAGTTCAATAAAAATAACTATCTGTAATAATAAAAAAATAGAAAATTAGGTTGTATGTATTTTTGTATCATAAAAAAGTGCCTAAAAATAAAAATATTTTTTTTGGGGTGGACACCCCTTATCAATTAGCGGTTTAAAAGATTAAAAAAATTTCATCAAAATCGGTCGAACCGTTTCGGAGAAGTATGGGAACGAACATTGTGACACATGAATTTTATAAACATACCATAAACCGACACACAGACAGACAACAATTTTTTTCTACTACATTACGTTACACAAAATAACCAATTAAAATCTTAAGAGTTTTAAATAGTTAGATTTTCGATAAATTAACGATTGATTGCTATGATTGAGACGTTGTTATCATTAAAAAAAAATTGTTTTTACAGGATAATTACATCACTTTGTTGAGGCAGAATAAAAATAAAGGTAAAATTAATTTTTCATCCGTTATATTAAGGACTGCTCATGATCTTTATATATCGTATATGATAGGGCTGTAGGAATTTATGTTTTTGATTAATAAAAAGTCATCATCTGGTGGATGTGGATAATGCTAAACCATAAAGATTTAGCTCTTTAAATAAAGCTCTTTGCTCTAGTTCAAGCAATTTGTATGACTCAAAACTTGGAGATTAAAAAGATTGGCGGACAGTTTCTTGCCAGTTCTTCTTGCCCGCTCTACGCCCTTGACTTTCGAACTGGTAGTAAATATATAGAATCGATTTAACATCTCTTCTGTTGAAGTTCATTATTGTACTTGGTTAGCTATATGAATAATGTTATTTTCAGTTTGAGTTTAAAGAAACTCTCATTAATATAAGTCAATTACCGAATATATTTTATACGAAATTAAATTTTGTCGTTAAAGCAACGCATTAGATATATTGTCTTCTTATCACGTAATATATCTTTAAATATTAGAAAAAAATGATTATTGTAAATTACAGATGAAGGACCAGATCTAGAACTTATAGAGCAAAAAATTGATACCATCGACCTGGAAGATGACTCCGATACTGAGAAATCCAATGACGTCGCTACTCCAACACAAGTGTCTGCTAACAGAACGATAAAATGTGATACTGGAAATATTTATTTAACCGATGTGGATGATAAGGATATACATTTTCTTAAAGAAATGAATATTCCATGTGAAACACCGTTTGCTAACTACGATGACGCTAATTTAGTTATAGATTGTGGGGAAGTATTTTCAAATACAGAATCCCGGGATGCTAACGATAGCTGCCAAGATCAAGCCATGGAAGTGGGATCTGATTCACATCATTCTTTAGATGATAATGATATTAACCTTAAAATGTCGGCAATGGTGGAGAGCAATAAAGAGAACGATAACAATGAGCTTGATGCTCTCCATAGGGATGATAGTAATTTTCATGTAAACGTTGGCAGCGAAGATTCTAATGCTGTCTACGGAGAGTCTACTATTACCTGTGATGATTCTTCCGATGGCGATATAGCTGAAATTACGGATATATTCAATCCCTCTCAAATAAAGATAGAAACTCCGTTCTTTTCTGACACTGATGTTGCTCAGACTAGAAGCGTAAAAAATGTAATAGAAAGAAGTGTAGGAAACGACAAATTTGAAGAAGACCAAGAAAATGTTGAGACCGCCTGCGAAGAGAGTATTTTACAATTGAATGATATAAATGAAAGGAAGGAAACATTTCATATTCTTCCCAAGATTCAAAGTGTTACAAGCATCAACAGTGATTTTTCTTCAACTAAAGACACATACAAAAATATTTTGGCACAAAAAGCTACAGAATTAGATCTAAGCCGTTCTGAATCATCTAATAAACATTTCTCAAATGATTTAGTTATTAAAGAATTAACCAAAAGCATTGAAGAAAGCACAGTGAAAGACATAGAACTTTTGGGAAATTTTGACGAGATTCCTAAGGATCTGCTATTTGTAGACGATGGTATCGCTTTAGACGACGAAAACGAGGTTGCAGTTAATGTTGAAGGTATGTTTATTATATATTCATAAATTTAACATGCATTTTTTTAAATTTCAACTTAAAAAAAAAAAAAATTTTTTTCAGAAAAATCCGCTAGTGAAAAACTCTCCAGTGAAGATAAAATGCCTAAAATTGACATAAAACTACTTTTGTTTTCTACGGTTTATACGAAAAAGTTAGATCATATGGATGTTTTTAGATTTATAGAGTTTGATAATATACGAGATAAACGAATAATTAAATGTGCTGAGATTGAAAGCAAACCTAAAGATTGGCTTGCTTACAATTTAGAAGATATTTCAAAGAATGAAGAACAAACTGTTAAAATAGACATCGATTCTAGTGATTTAGAAGATAATCTTTTAAGCGTAGTTCCTAACTCTAACGCTAAGGAAGTAAATATTATGAAAACAGAATATCCTTTAAACGAAGATACAAACAATGATGAAGATACAAGTCCAATAAATTATTCAGAACATAATTCCAACCAGAATGAAATATCTAGCGATGAAGATGACGAGCCTTTACTTTTAATTAAAAACCGAGTCGATATTCAGAATAATATCTTTAAAAAACCGCATGTACAAAACTATAATCCAATACAACTGTGCAAAAACCCAGATTTTAATACACGATTGAAGCGATTGACAGCAGGTTTTCTCAGTTACGAGAAAAATCGTGAATACTTGAAAAGGTGCCACCCTGTTACAATTGACCTACATAAGACATTTGAATTAAACATCATTGATAACATTATGTATTTAGACGAAAGCACGGTAAATACCAATAAACCGTCAATCGAGACTCAAGGAAGTGACCTTAAAGAAGGCCAGCATAATACCAATAACACTCGGGCGTCTATCGAGGTCGAAGATAGTAAATCTTTTGATGAAAATATAAGTCTCGATACTAAAAATCACAATGCTGACAAGTCTTCGAGTGTTATTACGTCCACTTCCACGCCTTGCGAAAGAAATAAAGTTATAAATTTACCTGATATCAGTGAAATTCGTCGTGTAAATAAAAATTTAGTCACGGCAGAAGTAGCACCTCTGCAAATCGTAATAAATACACCAAGTGAAGGAAAAACTATAAATGAAAGTTCTTCTAATCTTAAAAACGAAGATATCTGTACTGCAACAAGTACTGTGACTGTGACTGGTTCAAATATAGACAAACAGATATGTGATAATGTTAATCCAATTATAGTAAAAGAAACTAATGCAACCAACAAAGTTGCTTGTGTACGCGATGAAGTTTATAAAACTAATGTAGATAACAAAAATGACAAAAATGCTAATAAACGAAAAATTCAACAAAAAAAGCCTTACAATTATGCAAGATACTATTTACCTTGGAATCGCCCTGCAAATTTTGCAAAGGAAGAAGAATGTCTTTTAGCTTCAGACACTGTAGACAAAATGTTAGCACTATTTAGTGGACAAGAAATAAAATCGCATAGTAAAAATAAAAATACACAGGGGCTTAAAAGGAAACCTAGATTAGAAGCGGTAAAAAAAAGTGATGAAAAATGTAAAAAAGATCGGAAAGTACTTGAACGCACAAAAATAAATAATACAGATGATAATAGTAATAACGACAATAATCTTCAAACAGGTTTAACCGAAGATGGATTAGCAGTACTTTCTATCTCCCAGAAGAGAAAAAAGAAAGAGTTTTGTTGTTGGGCTCAGAAAAAAATAATGTACCCGAATCTCAAACGAAAGCATTCTTGTAAAAGACCTTTATGTACATGTTGTTGTAGAGACAAACTTTTGGAAAAATATAAAAAAGTGCTTGCGCAATCAAAACCAAACAACCAACCAAACCAAACGGCGGCTTTGACGTTATCTGATGAAGAAGTACCAAACCAAACAGCGGCCATCACATTATCTGATGAAGAAGTACCAAACCAAACGGCGAATTTTACATTATCTGATGAAGAAGTACCCTACCAACCGAACCAGAAAAGAAAATTTGTTGTTAATGTACCAACAGCAGCTAAAAGTCCGCCAAAGCAAACAATAAATTCAGTTCCTTCAATCGTTATCGATGGTAATACAAATAAAATAAACGTACCCAAATTTATAGTGAGACATCAAACACCAAAAGTAATAGAAAAGGTTGCAAAACTATCAAATATATCTAAGATACCCACCAGTACACCAAATACTAATATACATTCTGTTGAAAGTAATGACACAAATACTCCAATCCATAAAAATAGGCTAACGATAAAAAGAAATTTAACCAACACTGAAAACATCCACACATTAAGAAAGTCGAACATAAATGTACAACAAGGATGTCAGGATGTCTTGAAACCCAGATCTAGAATAAAATTCTGTAAAGCAATTTCACAGAAGATGCAAACCGTAAGTGCACGGTTAAATAATGCACCAACGAATACTGTAACATTAAATGTAAAGAAGGGAGCCCAATCTTCAGCATCGCCTATATTCTTAGGGCAAAATAAAATTTTACTGAGTACTGTTAGAGGCCCGATGGCAAAGCCAATTCCAATAGACACTCCTAAAATAATATTACCTCAAGGTGTTTGTTTTGTTTTGTTACCTAATAATGAATTAGTGTTATCAATTGCATCTGGTGTTGACCTAGCAACCGAAGAATTACGACATCTCGAATTTGTGATACAAGCATTGCAAAGGGTTTTAGGAAAACCTAAAACTCGTGAAAATCCTGTAAGTGATTGTGCAAAAGAGGACATGGACAATAAAGAAGCTACTGATAAGAATAACCATAATATTTTTTCAAAAAATGAAGAAGACACTGGAATCAATTTATCTGTAAACGAGGACTCTAAAAAAACGTTGACTGCTAATGAAAAAGTTCAAAATATCGATTCGGCAGTAAGTAATATTGACTTAGAATTAAGTAAAGAGAGCGTTGATACCGAAAACCCAAGCATAGATACAAACCGTAAAACAATTTTATCTGATTTAATGGAAATGTCTGGCATATCACCAGAAGACGCTAAATTACCCGAACCTTCCATTCTACCTGTAGAACCAAACATTCCTTGTGATAATGAAATGGGTACTTCCGAAATGCATCCTGATCTACTCCACTTATTTAACAACCCTATTGCTGTTGCAGCTTTAGCCAGACGACCAGATCTAAGTATATTAACAACATATAGTGATTTACGATACGCTTCTGATAATAATGGAAAATTTTTCAAAATGGATGTTTGTACAGGTGAGATTGTTCCAATAAATGTGTTTATCAAAAAAAAGGATCAACTTATTAATAAAAGGAAGGCAAATCCTGTAGAAAACCAAGAACCAATTGATTTAACATCTGATAAAGATAGTTGCAATGAATCTGATGATGATACTTTAGTTACAAGCATTATGATTCCTGCTGCAAAAAATAACAAAGGTGTAGATGGCATAAAACCTTTAAAATTATTCAGAGCTATGAATTCATCTCTTCTAAAACAGAATGACACAGTGCTGGACACGAATATGAAGGTTTACTCTGGCCCTATGATGATAGGAAATAGTGTATTAAAGGTCGTCAATTTGGGCAGACGAAAGCAAAACCTAAATCGGGGTATAAAAGTAGACATGAACAATGTACCAGGTGATCCAAAGGACAGTAACCAAGGTGTAGCTGCAACTATAAACTTGGATGAATCCGGTTCTGATTCTGATGATGAACCTCTAGCTAAAAAAGCAAATCGTAATCGTGAGGAAGATCTAAATTACGCTATTAACAGTGAAGCAACAAACAATGATGTTAAAGGTTGTGAAATGCCCATGGGTGCAGATTTAGATTACGCTTCAGTGGTGTATGAAGAAATTGAAAATGAATTTGAATCTATTGAAGAGGCTGGAGAAGATTGTATTTTAGGAGTATGAAAACAGGATTTTTTTTAAAATTGAATACCTTGAAAGTTCACAAAGTAAAATGCCTTAGTAGTGTGTACCGAACCGTTAAAAGATATTTGTTATGTACCTTTAGTCAAAATAATAAGAATCTAAGTACATATATAAAGGCAATGTTATCATCATAACTGTGATATATAGAATATTCTATTATAGAAATATTTATAAATGGTTTATTTTTTGTAGATAGTCATTCCAGTGCATTAGGGAGATACTATTGTTACATTTCCTTATTTGTCTGAATGTATGTGCATCATACACCAAACTAAAGACATCAAAGTTCTGAAATCAACAGGACACTATCTCATGTAAATTGGTTGGTCCAATATTATCATTTAATTTATTGGTAATTAATATTAAATTATAAAAAGAAATAACAAACTCCAGAACAAATCTGGTTAGTCTGATAAGTATTAGTTGATAGTATGCAAACTGCTGTAAATTATAGATAGCTAAATAGGTCTCATTTTTGCTGTAAAGATACTAGTTACCTATTAAGTGAACTATATCTACTATTGCTTGTTATTACTTATTTGTAAATAAATGTTTTGTTGATCATTATTTTTTACTGACATTATAGCGAACAATTGTAATAAAGGGATTATAAGGTATACTAAATCTAAGGGGTTAAGACATGACTCTGATGAAAAAAAAAATTATTTAGATCAAATCTAGGTGTATTTATCTAATAGTAACACCAAGTGACTCAGTTGCTGCCTCTTCAATTTTTCTATGAACTCTATTGACTTCTGCTTGTGTTAGTGTCCTCTCTAGATGTCTATAAACTATAGAGTAGCAAAGACTATGCTTTTTTGTCTTTGGATGAACAAATTTGTCCTTCAGCTTAACCTGAAACCAGTAAAATGTTTTCCGTATACTATATTAACAATTGATACTCATTTTAGACACCCACCTGTTCGATAATATCTCCTCCAACATCTCTTACTAAGTCATAAAAATCATTACTTATAAAATTGTCTATTGTATATGCAGGTGGTAACCAAAAAGATAAATCATTTGTACATTGCGGGTAATTAGACACTGGTTTATATATAATTTTAGTGTGCAAATCTTTATTTTCAAATTGTGTTAAGAAACCTGAGTCAGTGCTCCACACAAGACGAATGTCAGGTATTTTATATAGAGCCATAACAAGACGTTCCAAGCCCAAGCCAAAAGCATATGCAATGCTGTTATTTGGACCAGCATTTGACATGATTTCATTTCTAACTATACCACATCCTAAGACCTCCATCCACTTATTTTCATAGAATATTTCCATTTCCCATGAAGGGTGCGTGAAAGGAAAATAAGCATCTACCCATCTATGCCTAATATCATCACCAAATAATACTTTAACAAGGCTTAGTAGATGAGTTTTTAATTGATTTTCCATTAACTTTGTGGCTTCTAATGTATGACAACTTTGCTTAGATGGATCAATAATACTATTTCGAAAGGACAGTGGGTTATCTAAGAAAGCTTTTTCAAATATCTCTAGACCTGGGTGATTTTTAAATAATTGTTCTTTCCGTTGGGATCTTACAGCATCAACCTGTAATGATTAAACATTAAATTAGATATACAATATTGACTTTTTTTTGCATGAGTATAAATTATACTGTCAATATTTTAGATTTAATTGTTATTGCAGATGTAATCTGCAAGCTGTTCTGGAATATAAGGTATTGCAAATTAATTTTATAGTTATTAAGTATAAAGTAATAATAAGTAAAGCTATGCTAAAGTAATACTATGTTTGCCTCTTAAGGGTGTGCAATTATTTTTTTTATTTTGATTTGTCAAAATGTAAGATTTTATTGTAACGCACATTGGCTTTAAAATAAATAAATTACCAACTCTATCTTGCTTATTTGTTACACTGTCAGGTACCTCGGTATGTTGGTAAACCACATTTGATAAAACTTAACTAAAAAAATAAATCAAAATATGTCATAGAAAAATAACTTCTTAAGAGCAATTACCTGATGAAAAACTGGATAGTGTGTTGAATCAATTTCATCTCTTCTGTATACATCTCCTATCATAAGAAAGTTATCTAACCCAGCTCTAAGTAGCTCACTTTGATGGGCAGTCATATGAGCTCGTAACAGTAAAGAATTGTTTATGTAATAGCAGTCTGACTTTACTCTACTAACATGGTCTAATGGAATTAACAAGTCATCAAAATTCTGTTTGGTAGAAACGATAGGCGATAAGTTGTCGTACACACTGAATGTGGGATTACCTCCATGAGTAAAAGACGAGTAGAAATAGTTTACAATTCGTTGTCGAACTATGCATAGTGGATGTCCTCTTTGCAAATGCAAATTTTTGTTTAAATAACTTAATATTTTTGGGGTAACATTTGTGTAGTCATCGCTAGGATATTCCTTATTATTAATTTGAATTGAAGAAACTGATTTAGTAGCTGTACTATAATTATATTTATGAATAGTTAACGATAACAATCTCGACCTAATTAGATATTTTGTCATGTTGCTATTGAATTTTAATTATATTAAATATTAATCTTGCAAAAAGTGATTTCAATTTAAAAAATCACATACTGTAAACACTAAACTGCTCGTCGTCAATTTACTCAATTATCACAATTCACATGTTATTTTTTTTTTTTATAAATTTATGGCCTGGGGGTCTAGCCAAGATGGCTTAACAGTAGTGTATGTAGAAAGTCGAAAACTAAATTTGTATGGAAATGACAGTTCGTGTCGAAAAGTTTTCATACAAATTTAGTTTTTGACGTTCTACATACACTACTGTTAAGGCATCTTGACTAAGCCCAAGTCTTATTTTCGGTTCACATGTTATTGTATTTTATCAATAGTAAAATTAAAGATTAGACATCAATTCAATTCACAGATTCAAACTCTACAAAAACGACATTCGACTATCCGACACACATTTTGACAATATACTACTTTTTATTATTTTTATAACTACTATAATAACTCGTAAGAATTAAGAAAGATAATACGAAGCCGAAGACTTTAAAAATCTCATTATTTTTAAAAAAAAATTTTATGATAAATAAATGATATCAAAAAGGCTTCTTCATTTAGCCCAACTCGGTGCTGTGGGTTTAACTGGTTACTTAATCGGCCAGAAGAAATGTTTTGGAAAAGATCAAACCGTGGTTTTAAATGGCAAAACTTTGACTAGTTTGCCTGGGTTGCCTATATTTGGCACAGTTTCAGCTGCTACACCATACGTTGAGAGTGGTGGTGCTAAGGATAGGGTAAGCTTCATTCATAATTAAAGTACTATCAGGTTTCATACCTAACCTTAACTTAGAATCTTAAATTGTACAATTAACTGAAAGCCGGGCCAGTTTTATGCAAATTCTACTTTTCAGATTTCAGAAATTATGAAATATGGATTTCCTAGCTTAGATAATGTTAGATCTTATGATGATTTTGTTTTGTCATATGACAGACGTAATAGAGTACCACATTGGGTCTTTGAACACATAACAAAAGATCATATATCAAAAAACAATGCAGTTGATAGGAGTAAATGTGATTTTAAACCAGATGAGAGTATTCACCCTTTCTTCAGGTAAATTTCTATAGACATATTATTACAATTATTAATTAAATCTGATGGGTATATAATTGATAAGTTTGTTTAAGTGATTAACCTACCCCTTCAGATCTCATAATATGGACTACAAAGGTTCAGGATTTGATCGTGGCCACATGGCAGCTGCTGGTAATCACCGTTTAGCTCAAAGACATGTGGATCAGACTTTCTACCTCACTAATATGGCCCCACAGGTATTATATTATACATTAAACAAACTTGACTCATAATTCTCTTTATCATCTAAGTACTAAATAGCTAAGAAATAACATAACAGGTTTCTAGCAAACTAGGAACACTTGTAGCAGCCTCTTTCTGTAAAATTTTAATTTTGCTAGGATGAAATGAGACCAATGTGTACTTTAGTTAAAACATTGCAATTAGACATATTATAGTTATCAGTTAAGGAAATTAAGTAAGAAGTTACTAAAAATTAAAATGATTAAATCATATATGCCTAAAATCTCATTGAGTTATGACATTACAGATCCAATATAATTAAACAAATAAAAAAATAAATTGTATGTATCAAAGTTATTTGTTTATCATTTCTTGATAATAAAAAATAATAGCAAAGCTGCATTTCTTAATCATCATATCCTTTTTTGTAACTTAAAAAAGCTCTACATTGTGAAAATCATCAAACTGGAATAAAACTGGTCCAAGTCCAGAATGAAACTTTTAAATTCAAACAAATTTACACCTTATTCATATTTCAGGTTGGACAAGGCTTCAATAGAGATTCATGGAATAGACTTGAAAAACATGTGAGAAAATTGACTAAGGTTTACAATAATGTCTACTGTTGTACAGGTCCACTTTATTTACCAAGGTGAGATATATTTATAATAATTTAAAATCTATGGCTTAATCTTACATGGTACAAGGATGAAGGAAATACAGTTTCTCTATGTTGGAACAAAATGTAAAACAACGATTAGACTTAATTCTGCTATTGAAGAGTTCAGACCATTATTTCATACTAAGTTATTTTTAGTTCAAACATATTATAAATAAATAAAATAAAATAGCCTTTATTACTGTAAGTTTTAAAGTTAGTATATATAAATTAAAATTATAAAATATCCCTAATTACAGTGTGCCTTTCGGCAAAGGCCTCCTAAAATTCTTTCCACTGTGTTCTGTCCAAGGCGACTCTCCTCCAGTTTGGACCTGCTGTCAGTTTTAGTTCGTCTTCCCATCGTCTGTATTGACGATGTTTTTTTCTGTATTCATGGTTAGTCCAGGTTTGATACTTTCATTTGTTTTTTTTTTTTTTTTTTGTGTTCTTGTTCATCTGCAATCGGCTATCAGCCATAATCAGATATTTTCTGAGGTTAATTTTGGTTGGGTGCGATTCCATTGAAAGGCACCGTAAGTGTTGGTAGAAACTGGATTTTTATTGTAGGTCAGTTTCTCTGGTCTAGGTCTAGTATTTGCCATCTTTTTAGGCGAGTTACATCATCTCCTGGGGTTAGCAGATTCTTAGCCAGTTCATTTGTATGTTTGGTTAACCTTTCCCTGTATCTACTGCTGTTTTTGCGGATTACTTCCTTTACGGTTGGCATCTCCAGATATTCGTGTATTTCCGTGTTTCTCACAAACCAGTGTGCACATGAAATAGTTCTCAGTGCAATGTTTTGAAATCTTTGGAGGATTTCGATGTTAGAATTGCTTGCACAGCCCCAGAGTTCTATTCCATATGTCCACACTGGTTGTATGATGGCCTTGTACACAAGCAATTTGTTACTCAGGGTCAGCCTAGATTGCGGGCCTAGAAGCCAGGATAGCTCTTTGAATTTCAAGGTGGCTTCTGTTTTCTTGGCTTTTATATGATTAGCCCAGGTCAATCTTCTGTCCAGATGTAGTCCGAGATATTTCACGCTGTTTTTGCTTGGTAACGGTTTGTCTTCTATATGCACAGGTGGACAGTCGCCCTTTCGCAGTGTAAATGTTACTTGTATTGATTTAGTTATGCTAGGCTTGATTCTCCACCTCTGCAGCCACACGTTCACCTTATTGAGCTGTTCCTGTAGTTTCAGTGAAGCGTTATTCGCGTTCACATCGCTTGCAAGGCATGCAGTGTCATCTGCGTATGTTGCTGTTACGACATTTTCTGTTTCAGGCAAGTCTGCCGTATATATTGAATAAAGGACTGGGCCAAGCACTGATCCTTGTGGAACTGAGGCAGTGATGTAATAGAGCCTTGAAAGTTCCTCCTCATACTTTACTTGGAATCTTCTTTGATCTAGATAAGATTTTAGGATCATATAGAATGAGTTTGGTAGGAGGGTTTTCAGCTTGTACAACAATCCTTTGTGCCAAACTCTATCGAATGCCTGCTGAATATCTATGAATACTGCTGAACAATATTCTTTTTTCTCTAGCGATTGTCTTATTTTGTGAACCACTCGGTGTACTTGTTCTACAGTAGCATGTTTTTCCCGGAAACCAAATTGGTGATCGGGTATAATTCTGTTTTGGTCCAGGACTGGTTTTAGTCTCCGCAGAAGAGTTTTTTCAAAAACCTTAGATATTGTTGGGAGAAGACTTATAGGCCTGTATGAGCTAGGTTCTGTTGGGGGTTTCCCTGGCTTTACAATCATAATTATTTGTGATATCTTCCATAGCTTTGGGTAGTACTGTATTCTAAAAATGGCATTGAATAACATTGTTAAAAGTACTATTGCTTTTCTAGGTAGTTTTTTAAGGATTTCACCCGTTATTAGGTCGAAACCAGGAGCCTTTTTGTTTTCCAGATAGCTTATTGTGCGCGTTAATTCTTGTGGAGTGACAAGTTTTAGCGGTAGTGATAATTGCTGGTCACTGTTGATCATTCTATCCACTTCCTCTTCAAACTCAGTCATGGATGATTGGTTTGGTTTGAAGACTTCGCTTAGGTGTCTAGCGAAAAGTTCAGCTTTTTCACTGCCGCTCCTAGCCCACGGATCGTTCGTAGATATCCTTATAGGTGGTATATGGTTATGTGGTCTTTTAAAGTTCTTAGTTATTTTCCAGAGTGAGTAATTATCCTTCTTATGAGCCGAGAGTGTACAGAGTTTTTCTTGGAAGGTTGTGTTTTGATTTTCTTTAATTAACTCTTTTAGTTCTCTAGATATTCTATTGAATTCCGACCTGTCTACATCTGATCTGCTGGTGTGTAATCGCCTTCTTTGTCTCCGTTTTTCTTCCAGTTTGTTGCGTATTTCCAGTGGTATGTTACCTAATTGATTGGAAGAGCTCAGTGTCGGGGTGGCACGCCACGCAGCTACTTGTATGAGATTCGTGATGTAGAATGTTGTCTCATCTATGTCTTCTTCTGTTTTGAGCCTAACCTTTAGTTCAACTTCATCTTCTAAGTATTCAGCAAATGCGTCCCAGTCTGTTTTATGATTATATAGCGCCAGTCTCTGTGCTCTATGTATAGCGGAAACGCTAAATGTTGCTATGATAGGGGTGTGGTCAGACCCACCATCAGACGATGATGCCACGTCAAAATACACATCAGACAGTCCCTTCACCACAAAAAAAGTCCACTAGGTCGGGTATTCTGTTGACATCTGTTGGCCAATAAGTTGGTTTACCTGTTCCCAGTGTAATAAGTTTGTGTTTATCGACACATTTTTTCAACTCACGTCCTTTGCTGTTTGTCAATCTTGATCCCCAATGAGTGTGTTTACAGTTCCAGTCCCCACCACTTATGTATCTGTTTCCCAAGCTTTGAAAATAGCGGTCAAACATGTGTTGTTTCGGTTTATGCTTTGGTGGACAATATACAGCGCTTACATTGATGGGGCCCATGCTTGCATTTATAGTGATGGTAGTGGCTTGCATCCAGTCTTCCCGAAACTCGCTATGGAGGTGGTGTCCGATGTTACTCTTTACAATTACTGCTGATCCTCCGTGTGATGTGGTATCGGGATGGTTAGTATAATATACGTCATAGTTGTCTATCTTAATATTCTTACGGTCATTTAGGTGGGTTTCAGATATTAAACCAATGTCGATTTTGTTATGTTTTAACATTATTTCTAATTCTTTTTTTATTTGGCGTTAGGCCATTGATATTCCAGGTAGCGATACGTAACGACATCATTGTGGAAGCCTACTGATGATTGTCATGATGAGGTTCATCATTGTGCTGAGTTGTGAAATGAGTTGATCGATTCTTTCAGTCTGTTTCACTATAAGTGCTTCTAGACTGAATCTATTTTCTTGCCCGAGTTCTATTTTTCTCAGGTATGTTCTTTGTGACTCATGGTCAACGTGGTTTTCTGTATTTGTTCTCTGTGAATCTATATGGTCAACTTTGTCTTTCCTGTGTATCTGTCGTTCCGTTTGGTCTGTGTTATCTCTCGTGTATGATTTTTGTGTCTCTGTATGGTATGCTACAGATTTGGTTGAATTTTTGGGAGCTCCACTATAGGGTCCCAGGGATTCTTTTACGCTTGGTAGCCGATGTTTCGGTTGGGTAGTCTTGGAGTGATTATCAGGCTCAATGACTATCACATCCATGTCATTAGGGGGGCTCATTATTTTCAGAGTTCTTAGTCCGCACTTCCAGAGTGGTTCTTGATTTTAGATATGGCTGAACCTTGTTTCCAATTTTCTTTCTTGCTAGGACTTCCCTATACACCTGGCATCCTTTGTAGCTAGCAGGGTGGCTTCCTGAGCATAGTGCGCATACTGCTGGAGTGCTATCATTTATTGTGCACGTAGTAGTTTTATGTGCCCCAGCACACTTTACGCATCTGTAAGGCCTCATACAGTTATTTTTGCTGTGCCCATATTGTTGGCACCTTTTGCATTGTACCACTGTCATTTTTCTTATTGGGTCTTCTATCGTGACTTTCTGGTTGTATATGACTTTAATTTCTTTGACAAATTTATTATTTTCATGTGGAGCCACATTGACAAAAAATGTATTTAGTGGCTCTTTGGTTCCTTGTTTCCGGGCAGTAACTATTTCTCCTTGTACTTTGTTTCCAGTTTTTTCTACTGCTTCTATAATGGCATCTTTAGGTGTGCTGAAGTGAAGATGTTTAATAACAATCCTCATGCATTTTTGGTCTTTGCGTGTAAATGTGTGACCTATAAGCCCTTTACTTCTTATGTGCTCGATCAGAATCTTATATTTGTCAACCGTGTTAGACGAGATTATTAGCTGGTTTTTGGATACGATTTTATAGGTGTAATCATTCTTTTCAATAACTTCTTCGATGAGTTGGGTGAGTTTTTCAAGGTCATCAACACCATACAAAATTATTGGTGGTGGTTTAGGTGTTCTCTTGGCTGTAGCTTCTCCTAGTTCCACGTCTAACAAAGCAAAGCTGTTGTTTGTCTCTATATTCGATGAGGTATTTTGTTCAGGAGTATTTATTCCTCGGCGTTTGTTAATGATTGCCTCCCGTCGCTGTGTCTTTTTTTGGCGTGATGACTCCTTGAGTCTTTTTCTTCGGGAGACCGATTTCTTTTTTGATTTGGTACTCGTTGCCAGGGCACACTAGGTTTGTATGAATTTTGTTCCTGTGTAGGTGCCTGTTTAACAGGTATCATATGTTCTTGTTGGACTTGGGAGACATCACTGAGTGAAGATGAACGAGTTCTATTAAATAGTGCAGGGTGAAAAAGCTGCTGAGTCAGAATTTTTTGCTTCTTTTCTGTGGTTGATTCCGCTTGGTGTGGCAAAATTCCCCCCCCCCAGAATACGAGGGGCCGCCTGGGTATTGCTTAGTGACGTCGTTGATTGACGAAGATTTAGGTGGTGTTCTTTGCATTATGTTCCCACGAGTAGGGTCGAATAAACAGGTCGCTTCCAGGGTGACGCCCTTTTTCCCAGAAGAAGGCACAGTACGACAACGTTTGCCAGATTCGTTGAAGTTGGACGCTAGAGACTGAGTTATCCCATCAGCCATATACACCTCATGTAGGGGCATACACATACCTTGGCGCGTTTCCCACCGTAGTATAGGGGTAATTTATTATAGAGGTTTTCTTCCTCGCGGCCCAGATGATAAAGTCCAGACCCCCGGTCCCCGTGAGACATGACCACAGGTTTACGGTTTGAGGTGGCTCTTTCGAGTCACACTTGTTGCTTGATCGGTTTTGAGGCGCCGATGACTCGCCTTCGCCCGTCACAGTCAGCAGTACAGACCCCGAGGAGGATGTTATTGTGTGTAACCCGTTAACAGATCTGTACAGTATCCAGGGGAGGCGACTGGGACGCCTGTGAATCGGACTTTCGGGTGCGCGCAATATAGCCAAGCCACACACTCGCAAGGCGTACGCTAGCAAACACAGCATTTTTTAAGCATGCATCCAGCATCAATGCACACCACCGTGTACTTGACACCCTTTCCCCCCCTAAGCATTTCAATCATAACCTGCAATTTTTTTGGGTTTTCTTCAAAAAGAATCAGATCATCCGCAACGCTAAGGTGGCTAAGTAATCTTCCATTAATATTTATACCGACTTGATCCCAGCTGATATTTCGGAAAATGCCTTCCAAAGCAACTAGGAACATTTTCGGGGAGATAGGATCACCCTGTCTAACACCTTTGCTGATTTGAAAGGTGCTTCCTAGTTTTTCTAATTTGATTCTTGCTTTGCTGTGGTTGTTAACTATTTTGTTGAAGATATCTGTTAATAGTGGGCTTATCTCTTCTATGGTACCTTTTAGTAGTTCATTGTATATCATGTCTGGTCCAGGAGCTTTATCCAGTTTTTGACTTCTTATTGCTTTTTCCACTTCGCACTGTAGTATATCAGGTTCTTTCTCTTGTGTGCTATATTCTGAAGGGTTTATCACTTTGTTTTTGTTGTTTGCATTTGTCTCATAGTTTATTTGTTTACTTTGATCGGAATAAAGTCTTATAGAAGTCTGTTGTTGTCTCTAGAATGTCCTTCCTTTGAGTAAAACTCTTTTCTGCTTTCTTCAATTTTGGAATCCAGTCATTTTTCTCTCGTAGTACTTTCAGAGCCTTTCTTGTGCCACCAGATTTTTCTATATAATGTTCCAACGTTCTTAGTCTCTTAGATCTTTGGTCATTCCTTATATGCTCTCGTATTTGTTTGCTTAGTTTATTAATTTTTCTTAAATTTCCTTTCTTGTATCATTTCTTTTCTTTCTGCAAGTAGTTTTAGCGTTTTGTCACTGAGTTTTTTTTATTTATTTTTTCCATTTTGTTGTATGTTGCTAACACTGCTGGACAGTTGTAATTCTAGGCTGTTATATTGTTCTGTAATGTGTAGGGTTTTGTAGGTTTCATTTTTTGCTAAGGAGTTAATTTTAGTTTTTATTTCTTGAAGATTTTCGTGTTTAAAATCTTTTCCTGTAGTTTTGTGTATATAATTTCTTGATTTATTAATGTTTTTTGGAAATAGAGTTCCACGAACCATTCTGTGGTTAGTATTAAAGTTAAGATTTTGAATAATGTCTACGTCGACAAAGGTTTTGGGATTATTCGATAGGATGTAATCAATTTTATTTCTAGTTTTTCCATCAGGGGAGACCCATGTCCATTTGCATTTTGTTTTCTTCTTAAACTTAGAGTTCATTAGGTAAAAGTTGTTCTCCATTAAAAATTCTGCCAGTCGTTGCCCATTAACGCTTCTTTTGCCATGGCCATGTTTTCCAATTATAAAATCTTCGTTGGCTTGTCTAGTACCGATTTGGGCGTTGAAATCGCCCATTTTTATTTTGGTTGTTTCTTATGTGGTCCGCTAGAGTGTTATAGAAGAGCTCCGTCTCTGTTTCATCGGCTTGTTCTGTTGGTGCATAGATTTGTATTAGTGTCCATTGTTCTGGGTAGCCTGGGAGGAGTATGTTGAGTACAGCTATTCTGTCGTTTAAGCCTACAAATTCCTGGATATTATTCTTTAGAGATGCCTTTACAAGAAATCCTACACCTCTATGGCCAGCCTTTTCTCCTTTGTAATACATTACATATTTTGGATACTCTTCAATGCCTTCTCCCAGTCTTCTCATTTCACTAATACCAATGATATCTCAATTGAGGTTTTCAATCGCTAGTTCTAATTCTTTAAGACTTTCATCTGTTCTAAGGGTTCGAGTGTTAAGTGTTGCTATATGTGTTGCTATATGTACCTTGTTTGATGGAGGGTTGTGGTCGCATTCCCCACGGGGACCAGCCGGATTGGGGAGTAATCTGTCGTTATTGTTCTGTTTATAGTTGTCGTGCTTTTTCCTGGTTCTGGTCTGCCGTGTATAAGTTTTATTGATTGTTTGTTCTGCCAGTACTGGAAGCTGAGTTTGCTCTTGGACGAAATATTTGTGGGTGCGACTTACTAATTTTTGTAGGTGCCGATGTTTCTGTGTTTTTGCTACCGTTACCATTATCTGAAGATGACCTTCTCCTTTTGGCATCTATTATACCTTTTTCTTGTATTATTAGTTTGTCATATCGTCTAAAAGCTAGTTTCCCATCCTTTTCTGCCTTAATTTTCATTTGTTTTAACTCTTTACGTTTGATTAGAACTTCCTTTGGATAGTCTTCCGTAGCATATATGTTAGAAGGAAAGAAGTGGTTGTTCTTTAGGAGTTCATACTTCCGCCATGCTAGAGTGAGTGTTATAAGTATTGGTCTTTTTTTACCTTCCATCTTCTTACCGAGCCTTCTTAGGTTGCTGAGTTCCCACTGGTCCCATTCCCGCGTTTCTTTATTTTTTTGACTAATTTCGTTTAGTATCTCTAGTACGTTTTTTTCAAACATATTACTTACATTTAAATTTTACTTACGATGCATTTTAAACAGTCATCGGGTAATAAATGTCACTGACAGTGGGAATGTGCTCGCAATGCAACCCCTTATCGATACTTAGCTGCGCACGTATCTGACTCCTGATCGTTATGAGTAAGGGTTGTTGTTTTTCTATAAATATAACAACACAATGGAGAATTTATTTTCTAACATGAAGAAATTAAATGGTGACATCAGCGCTCAAGTTCGGGCTGTAATTCACAACGAGCTCCTGTTTTTAAAAGAATTGAAAACTGATCCCAAGAAAAAAGCTTGCCTCAATTTCAATAATCTACGAGAGCTTGCAGCAATGACTTGTGGTGATAGTAGAAATTAAAAAAAAAAATATATTTATTCATACAGGTAACACAATGTACACTTATGAATGTTAAAACAGAAATATACTTATATTAATGCTTCTAATTTTACATTTACTGCCAGTTCTCAAATCAAGGGCGTAGAACGGAAGAGAAGAACTGGCAATAAACTCTCCGCCACACTTTTATCGGCAAGAGCGACCGTGGATCGAATAAAATATTGAAATTCTGGACCAAATGTGTTAGGCATGCCATAAGGAAAACTATTTTAAGAGATCAAGCACTACCTCTGATAATTAACAAGACAAGAACCTCAACACTCCTTTTTATTAAAAGATATCTAGAAAGCTTCCAGTTTATAAGCTATTGCTTTTTTCATGGTTGCTCAGCTCTCCTAAAGGAGAGGTGGGCATTGGCATAATTGTGGCATAGAGCACTAATCTCGAAGCTTCCAGCCTATGGGATCCCCGAGAAATAATGCAACTAGATTTCCAGCTTTTTCGATAATCGGAGCATCAAGGTAGCATATCCCAACCATAAACCCGTGAACGCTGGTTTTCCACAAGGCTGTGTCCTATGCCCGACTCTGTTTCTTCTGCATCAATGATATGTTGCAACTTATCAACAGTCGACATCACGGGGCACGGGGGGATACTTTATACAGTGGCGTATTTCTCGGGCAGTTGTCGATCAGTACCGGAACAAACTTGTATATGAAGTCGAAACTCTGCTACGTGCAGTCTCGGACTGGGGTAGACTAAAGCTAGTCCAATTTACCACATACATACAAGAAGACACAAGTTTGCGCTTTTCGTTATAAAAAAAAAATGATTGTGTTGCACTGGTACACATGATCCACTTATATATCTAATATATAAAATTCTCTGGTCACAATGTTCGTTCCCATACTCCTCCGAAACGGCTAGGCCGATTCTTACACTAATTTAGATTGTATTAATTTTGTAGAAAGGACATAGATGGCAAGTCATATGTTAAGTACCAAGTGATTGGTACCAACTCCGTCGCGGTGCCAACTCACTTCTACAAAGTGGTCGTATGTGAGGCAGGAGATGGCGCCTTGCATATGGAATCCTATGTGATGCCCAATCAACGGCTACCAGATGAGACCCCCGTGTCTTCTTACATGGTGAGAACATAAGTTTTTATTTGACCGTTTGTCATAGCCTATATTGGTATAAGCCAAATCATAAATTCTGTAATATTTAATTCTATTTATAGATATCTTATACTTTTTATGTCATAGTGTATAAAATACAACAGAAATTGTTCTAAGGACGCGCGTTGTTAGCATACATACATCGCGATTTGCAGGCGTTCGACGAGCGTTAGTAGGGCAAGTCTACTCTAATCTGGCTCAGTTTGGAAAATCACCATCTATCATCAGATTCATGAAAATCCTCCTAATTACGATTTCTTAAAACTTTTTTAATCGGGACCTTCCATATCCCAAATATTTGGTCGCTTTTGGATTTCATTGATAAAGAATCCGGATCAAAATGAACATTCTCCATTTTCGTCAACGTGCGTCCACTCTTTACGTAAGCAGGAATTCGAATGTACAACGAAATGGCTGCTCATGTTTCTTGAAGTGCGCGGCTGACCAAAATCTGTAAACGCGCGCCTAACGATTGGCTCAAAGCGCGCGTTTGCATGTTTACACTTCAATCAGACCTCGCGTAGTTCCTACAACGCGCTCCAAAACGCCTAATGTGTACTCGGTCTTATTAAGTGTAAATTTACAGAACTCATTTGTTTTACTAAAAGGTTAACATGGCTTTTCAGTGTCAAAGTAATAACTTATACAACTACTTAATTGATAGTATACTTTTGTTGAAGGTACCGCCAGAGACGATAGAAAAGGCAGCTGGGTTGCTATTTTTTGACAAAATACATCGGAGTAAGCTTACGACAATTAATGGGAAGAAAGTTTAAATGATAAAAATTTAATTAAAAGTGCAATATTAGTATAAAATAATGGTTGTAAATAATTTGTAGAAAATATTTAAAAAATAGACATGAATAAATGATTGAGATACTTAATATTTTTTACTCAATCAGAAGTCTCCGAGGAGCACACACAAACACCACTCACCTATAGTCCTCCTTCTTTTCACTTGTCTCCGTGGAAGAAGACCACAACGTAACAGATTTCTAAGGACAATAAACAAGGAAAAGCGCGTCCTGCAAGCCTTCTCTGCAGCGTGTGATCATGTAGTGTTCCCCTCTTCCCTCACTTGATTATGATCAAGAGAGACTGGCGGAGGGAATGGTTGCGGTAAGGACAGAGAGAACGATAGGTAGTTGGATTGCGTAAACATTTATAATATAAATTGCAGCTCACTTCTAGAAAAAATGCACTTCCTTGTGCCTGCCAGACTCGTAATCGAGCTTTCTCTCATCAACACTAACTATGCAAAAAGCATTGTTGTCAGATTTGTTGTGCGGGCTATGCGATCAGCGACACAAAACGTACATACAGACATATAACGACCACTATTTAAGCCTTGAGTTGTTGAACTATCGCGGTATTTGCTTAAACCTGCATCACGAGCGCACCCCACATACGGTGTCTATGTGTATCACTCACCACAGTCGAATTACGTATTACATAGTAAAATGTAATTAATAATATTTTGTTTCTTTCGTAAATGTTTGAACCTTTTACATAATACATATATACAATATTATGTATTCCATCTTTGGCTATAGGTTTAGTATAGTTGTTTTTGTTAAATATTATGTATGTTAGCTGTAGAATTACGTAAATTATGGAAAACTACATTATTAGGTAATAGCTAAAGCAACAGATCACACTTATTAAAGTAGTGTAAAACTGACAAATAATTTTTTCGTATCGGAACTTATTGCTGTTTATATACTTTATACAGAAACATTAAATCTCGTTAATTTATAGTCCCACTTAATAAGCAAAACAATCGTATAAGTCGAATACGTACTGTGGAAATATTGAAAGATCCACACTATTGAAAAAACGTGCTAATACTTAAACGTGGAATGGTAATTAAAAGCTTTAATAAAAATGTAGTATATATTGAATATGCAGTACATAATATACAGGGTATTAGTTTTCTTCGTCTTCATCGGAGGCACCATTTTGCTGAGGCTCATCATCTGCGCCTGCGTCACCCATACCTACAATATAATAACATTAATTTTAGAAGAATTTCAAGACAGTGAGAAAGGTTCTTTTCCAATGAATAATGAATAAAAATGAAGTCAGTCTAATTGTACTCTTTTTTTAATATTTTAATAAGTAATTTGATATTTACTTGTTAAGTTGGGTGTAGTAGTAGGTACTTAAAACCGACAGTATTTAAAAAAAATTGGGTTAACTGGGTAATTTAGTAAACTAAAAAATACTCATTATTGTACCAATGACTTTGAATTCAATATCATATGCTCAAGAGACAAGATACAGGTAGAGACTTATATTAGACACACACTGTAAATTTTCCATAGAAAAATCATCACAAAAAGATAGAAATGTTTTGGTTGACTTTACCTTGATCCTCATCCTCCTCAGCAGAGTCACCAGCCACTTCAGCATTCTCAGCTTCAGCTCTCTCCATTTGTCTCGCCAATTCAGCTTCATCAGTTGCCGTCACCACTTTAGGCTGATAAATAATTATATATTTATTAAATTAATGTATAGTTGACAAATGATTTTATTATACTGTCGTTGATTAACTAAGGATTTTGCAATCTACTGACAGTAATATATTCAGACAGGTTTTGGATTCTATTAAAAAAATTCTAGAACTTAAACTTTGGATTATCCTTCTTTAAAAGGTATAATTAGTAAAATCAGTCTATAATATAAAACATAATATGCATGATTTGTATGGAAGTCAGAAGTTTACTATGATACTCCTGTCTGTTTTAGTGGTTAAATACTATTTGAATGAAATAAACACAACTCACAAATAAGAAATTAGTCTTCAAGAAGTAAGTCTAGTAACTTCTAGAAAATGATTTAACTTTATATTTGATAAAAAATTATTAAGTAATAGCACCATTTTAAGTATTAATGAATGATTTCCCTTCTAATATGTAGTTAAATATTATGATTATTACTAGTCTACTAATCTAGATGATACACACCGCCATCTGTATGTTGAAGACACCACCTGATGCTGTGATGGTCTCATTAATTTTATCAATTGCATCTTGTAAGGCTTTAAGTCCATCTGTTTTTTCTGGTGTTGAAGTAGTCATAACTGTAAAAAACCTTTATTTGTGTATGTACAGAACAATTACTCAAAACAACCTTATACAGTGTAAACTCTTTATAACGAATTTCAAGGGACCGAGCATTTTTATTTACTATAGAGAGATTTCGTTATAGGGAGGGAAGAATTAATGTATCGGGTTTGTGTTAAACCAAACAAACTTAACTCATTTTTACATTATAGAGAGTTTTTTGTTATAAGGAGTGATGTTATAAAGAGTTTACACTGTCCTTGAGTTTCAATATGCTGTCAATTCTGTTTCTGAATTAGGAATAGTCTACAAAGAGGGAGTATATGTTGACATTTTGTTACACATAAAACTTACCATACAATGGTGGGGCAATGAGATTTATCTTAATTGGCAATTCTAATGTGGATAATGAAAGACCTGCTTTCAATGCAGCCTTAACTGCATCAATACCCTCATAGCCATAACATGCGCACTCAATGTCAGCCCTTATCTTGACTGCCTGTGAGGTCAATTTCCTCTTAATGTTGGCTAATAGCACTTCCTTTGTTTTTTCATCAAGACCACATTCATTTAGGACTGAAGGATCCCTGTAGTTAAATTTCAAAAGGAAATTAAATATTACAAATGCAAATTTTTAATGGTTGTCCTGGTTTGTCAATCATTGAGCACTTGATATATTTAAAAAGGAAATAATGTTTAAGACATGTATCAAACCATTAGGAAAAGGATTTTTGAATTAATTATAAACAAGTTTATTTTCTACCGTTGAAAGTTATTTCAAACAAAACATTTTAAATCTTATTTTGTATATGTAAAATAAGTTTATTTCCTAATAAAATACAAATTATTTTATAAGAAACTCGTTTTTATCCAATTGAGAGAAATTAAACATACTTACACAGCAGCTTGCTTAAAGAAATCATAGGCAGATGCCTTTTTTTTATATTTCTCTTCAAACAGCCAAGCAGTCTTCTTGTAGAGTTCTTCCAATTGCTCCGAGTTTTCATAATGCAAAAGTTCCGCTACATGCCTAAGGATTGAGTTCACTGCTTTTGCCTTTGCATACCGCTCTGTACATTTGTCTATATCTTCACCAGATACACGCCGTTTGGATAAATCAATATAACCTGTAATTTTAAATATAAACTTATAAAATTCAATATAAAACTAAAAATCTACATAACTTATTGTACTGTACATAGTATGATAATAACTAAGTTCCTTAAATTTTTTTGTTTAACTTTTGTAGGAGAATTTGACTTCGAAAGATTAACAATAAGAATTACCTTTTTCTTTATCTACTCTTATGACCACAACGGGTTCAGTTTTGCCGACACGAATAAGTTTGTTGATAGAACGAATACGACGCCTCGACAACTCTGAAAGCAAGATCATGCCCTCAATGTTGTTGTATTCGAGCAGATGCACATATGCGCCCATCTCAGCAATGGAACGCACATTCACCATAACTACATCTTCAACTTCTGGATATTTTTCTTGATAAAATCTACATGTAAGGGGCATCTGAAATTTCATAAATATTATAACCTCTGAATCATCAGTTTGATCTGCATCTATAGAAAATACATTAGATAATAGTCTAGTTCTAAACAAACCTTGATGTGTTTTTAAGTTTTATGAGTGTTTTTGTAAGAAATTCAAATTTATAAAATATGATGAAACCTTGTTGTTCACGTTGATGATCGGTTTCATATAAGATGAAGCATCAAATTTGAAGTTTAGACATTAAAGTGACAGTTGACATAGCTCACAGTACGTTTAGCTGACCGTTTGACTTAAAATTACAGATTACTACAATTTTTGTACAAATCGGTTTCCATTTATTGTTGCGGCCCGCAAAACTTTTCGTTGTTTAAGCTCCGCTTCTGTCGATTTTTGGATATATAAATAGTATAGAATAATGATTCCTCTTTTGCTATACAGTTTTACGTATTTATATTGATTTTTGGTATTTAATAATGCATATTATATCTTCAATTAGTCCAAATTCGCGCTAGAAGTTGATAGCGTACATTACAAACTATTTTAGCAGACTTTATTATATCTAAACCTTTGTTTAAACAATGTTAATGGTCAAGAATAACCAGACATTGACCTAGGAGACGATATCAATCTATTTATTGTTCTGGAGAGCGGGTCAAATTGTTTCATTAATTGATATCCATTCGGCTAATTGGCTTCCTTAGAAACGCAAGTTTAATTGTAATGCAAAAGTAATTTTCTGAAGATAAATGTGATGTAATTTTTCTATGTGCAGAAATTTCTATGTGAAAAACAC